AAAATTAAACTTCGAAAAAACAGAAGATAGGTAATTGAAGTCAATATTATTTAGGATAAATTACATTTTAGTCCCTGGTATTTGGATTTTTATAAGTACTAACGAAAATTTGAAATTGGAGGGACCAAAATGCAAAGTTGAAAGTAAAATAAAAATTCAAAGAGTAAAATTGTTAAAAATTGAAGGACTCAAATGCAATATATATATATATATATATATAATTTAACTATTATTTATTACATCATAATTGACTAAGCCATGAAGTCACTTCCAAAAATTTCCTCACAGCATTTACCAAATTGGCACCCGAGAGCGCATCTACAACAAAATCAAACCACTCGATTGCTGCCACGTCATAGTATAAATTTTAAATCAACGGCTAGAATTACACTATAAAAATCACAGTCCTCACAGCCATCACAACCCGGTAAACTTAGCTTTTCTCTTACCTTTCAAATCAAAACCCAAATCCAAATGTGAATTCGTTAGCAACTCCCACGACTAAAAACCCACAAGTAAGATTACCAAATTACCCCTCCTTTTTGAATCTCTGGACTCCATGCTCTGTTCCTCTCTTCTTCTTCTTCCTGTTCATCTTCAGTGTTCAGAAAATTAAACATACTCAACATATTTAAGAAGAAATTCATACTGAAAACCCAGAAATTCTCTGAAATCCATATGGGTTCTTCATAGAGGGCTTTGAATCTCAGAAAAAATCCAAGAAAATTCATGGGGTTCGTGAATTCCCCTGTTTTTATGTTCTGTCTAATCGCATTTTCATCTTCACAACTTGTTCATGGAAATTCCGAATTGAAAGCGTTAATGGAGCTGAAGGAATCTCTAGACCCAGAAAAAAGAGTATTGAGGTCATGGACGATCGACGGCGACCCTTGCGGCGGCAGCTTCGACGGCGTAGCTTGCAACGAGAATCGGAAAGTGGCGAACATATCGTTGCAGGGACGTGGGCTCTCCGGCAAGGTGTCGCCGGCGGTGGCGAAGCTGAAATGTCTGACGGGACTGTTCTTGCATTACAACAATTTGTCCGGAGAGATTCCCAGAGAGATTTCGAGCTTGAATGAACTTGCCGATCTTTACCTCGACGTTAACAGCCTCACCGGCGATATCCCAGAAGAGATCGGAAATATGTCGAGTCTTCAAGGTTTGTTGATTTTCTGTTTTGTTTGAGACCCATGAAAGAGAGAGAATCTAAAGGTTTGAATTGTGCAGTTTTGCAGATTTGTTGCAACGAATTGAGTGGAAATATACCAAATCAGTTAGGATCATTGAAGAAATTAACTGTTCTTGCTTTACAGCACAACAGATTGAGCGGTGAAATCCCCATGTCTTTAGGAAGCTTACAGATGCTTAAACGGATTTATTTGAGCTTCAATAACTTCAATGGAGCAATACCCATCAAAATTGCTGCAATTCCTCAGCTGGAAGTTCTTGATATCAGGAACAACTCCCTCTCCGGCCATGTCCCTTCTGGTAATCCCTCCCTTTTTCTGTTTCTTCTTCTTTTTTGTTGGTTTTTTACTGAGGACTCTTGGGAGGGAATCCACCTCCGATTCATGTAGGCTGATCATGATCATTTATAGTAAAACCTTTAACCAATATTCATATATGAATTTTCTCTCTTCTGTTCTTTGTGTTTATCTTGATCGAATGTGGGTTGTTGTTGTTCATCTTGATCGAGTGTGTGCGTTATCTCTCTCCTATTCTTTGTGTTCATTTTGATTGAATGTGTGCTCTGTTGTTGTTCATCTTGATCATGTGTGTGCGTTGTTGTTGTTCATTTTGATCGAGTGTATGCATTGTCTCTATCCTGTTCTTTGTATTCATCTTGATCGAGTGTGTGCACTGTTGTTGTTCATCTTGATCAAGTATGTGCGTTGTTGTTGTTCATCTTGATCAAGTATGTGTGTTGTTGTTGTTCATCTTGATCAAGTGTGTGTGTTGTCTCTTTTCTGTTCTTTGTGTTCATCTTGATTGAGTATGTGCATTGTCTCTCTTCTGTTCTTTGTGTTCATCTTGATCGAGTGTGTGCGTTGTCTCTCTCCTGTTTTTTGTGCTCATCTTAATCGAGTGTGTGCATTGTTTCTCTCCAGTTTTTTATGTTCGATTGTGCTCATCTTGATCGAGTGTGTACGTTGTTGTTGTTGTTCATGTTGATCGAGTGTGTGCGCGGTTGTTGTTCATCTTAATTGAGTGTGTACGTTCTTATGCGATACTAACATTTTTGTTTGAAGGTTTGAAGCGACTGAATGAAGGGTTTCAAGGAGAGAACAATCCAAATTTATGCGGAATCGGGTTTGTTTCAGTGAGAAATTGTACCGTTTTTGATACTGAAAACATCAAAGGAGCTGGTTTTCAGCCATTTCTATCAGAACCAAACAAGAACAAACCTGAGTCAGCTGACTTTCACAATGCCAGTTGCTATCAACTTCATTGCTCAAAGCCCACAACAGTTCCAAGAATTGCTATTGTTTCTGCTGTTCTTATTGTTTCCATGACTCTGCTGGTGTCTGTGGTTCTCACAGTGTTTTGGTACCGTCGTCGAAAACAGGTCGGTAGCTCGTCTGTTTCATGCGATAATCGGCTCGGCTCGGATCAGGCTCGGGAATGCTACTCGAAAAGCGCTTCCCCGCTTGTGTGTCTTGAGTATTCACATGGATGGGATTCACTGGCGGATGGAATCAAAGGCTTGGGCTTGTCTAAGTTCTTCAGCATGTTCATTTTTAATATTGAAGAGGTTGAATCCGCTACTCAGTACTTTTCTGAGGCTAACTTGCTTGGTAGAAGCAGTTTTTCAATGGTTTACAAAGGAGTTTTGAAGGATGGTTCTTCGGTAGCTATTAGGAGTATTCATATGACTAGTTGCAAGTCCGATGAAGCTGAGTTTCTTCGTGGGTTGAACTTACTGAGCTCTCTCCGACATGAAAATCTCGTTAGTTTGAGAGGTTTCTGTTGTTCTAGGGGTCGAGGTGAGTTCTTCCTCGTATACGATTTTGTCTCGAGAGGGAGCTTGTCTCAGTATCTAGATGTCGGAGATGGTAGCAGCCATGTTCTCGACTGGTCGAAGAGAGTTTCTATCATCAATGGAATTGCAAAAGGTTTGCTTCTTTGCTTTCCCCCTTTGTTGTTCATCGTAAAAGCTTTGACTTCGATTCATTAACATCGATCAATGCTACGAGACTATTCAATGACCGTTTCTATGAGATCCCACCTTGGTTGGGGAGGAGAAAGAAGCATTCTTTATAAGGGTGTGGAAACCTCCTCCCAATATGAGTTTTAAAAACCTTGAGGGGAAGCCCGAAAGAGAAAGCCCAAAGAGAACAATATTTGCTATCGATTCTAAGACCGTTTCTTGTTTTCCGAACAGGCATAGCATATTTACATCGTGAAGAAGCAAATAAACCTGCCATGGTTCACAAAAACATATCCATTGAGAAGATTCTAATTGATCATCAGTTCAATGCATTGATATCGGACTCGGGCCTCTCTAGACTTCTCGCGGATGACATTATCTTTTCATCTCTCAAAACGAGTGCAGCCATGGGATATCTTGCACCGGAATATATTACGATTGGTCGTTTCTCAGAGAAGAGCGACATATACGCATTTGGCGTCGTCATACTCCAAATTCTTTCAGGGACACGAAAACTTACGAACTCTCTTCTATTGGAAGTCGAAGTATGCAAATTCGACGATTTGATCAACAAAAGTCTAAAGGGGAATTTCTCGGAGTCCCAAGCTAGAAAGCTAGCAAGGCTTGCAGTATCATGTACCAATGAGAACCCCATCAACAGGCCAGCCATTGAAGATTTGATAGAGGAGCTGACCAAACTTTAATTAGGAGGACCGAGAGTCGATGCTCGTTCAAGAACGACACCGGGAGAGAATGATGAAGCCTCCATTGTTGGAAGCTCAAGAAAAGCTGGAACTGAAAGATGAGGCTCCTGAAGAAACTGAGATGAAGATTGATAAGGAAGAAGAGCATGTAAATTGATGTATAAAAACATGTGTTGGGTGAGCCTGCCATTTAGATTTGCACTTTGTTTTACTTTTAGTTTTAATCCTTCAATTATATAGAATAAGATCACTTAATTCTCTTCACACCTCTTAAAAAAGAGATGTAAGATCCTGTGTCGGTTGAGGTTGGAGCAGGGAACTAAGCATTCCTTATAAAAGTGTGGAAACCTCTCTCTAGTAGACGCGCTATAAAACATTGAGGTTAACAGCCCCACATTGATTGGAGAGAGAAATGAAGCATTCATTATAAGGATGTGGGAATATTTTCTTAGTAGACGTGTTTTAAAACCGTAACACTAACTTAAAACTGTAACACTAACGACAATGCGTAACGGACCAAATCAGACAATATCTGCTAGTGAGGGCCTAAATTGTTACAAATGGTATCAGAGCCAGACATCGGGCGATATGGGCTCCCAAGAGGGGTGGATTGTAAGATCCCATATCAGTTGCAAAGGGAAACAAAATATTCCTTATAAAGGTGTATGCTAGCGAGGATGCCGGTCTCCAAGATGAGTGGATTTTGAGATCTCATATCTCTTTGAGAGGGAAACAAAACATTTCTTATAAGGATGAAAAACTCTCTCTATTAGACGTGTATTGAAACCATAAGATTGACGGCGATACATAGCAGACCAAAATGGACAATATCTACTAACATGAGCTTAGACGGTTATAAATTGTATTATAGCTAGACATCGAGCGGTGTGCCAACAAGGACGCTAGCCCTCAAAAGTGTAGATTGTGAGATCCCACCTCAGTTGGAAAGGATAACGAAACATTTTTTATAAGAACGTAAAAACCTTTTCCTAATAGATGCGTTTTAAGACCGTGAAACTAACGACGATACGTAACAAATTAAAGCGAATGATATCTGCTATTCGAAGACTTAAACTGTTACAAAACTCACAGATGTCATCTGAATAAGAATGATGTTCGTGCAGGAATCTTGTCCCATACATAAGCGTGCCAAACAAAATTTGAATCCCATCTCAATTTTAAAGAAATAAGATTTGGGTTTGAATAGAAATATAATTCAAAATCGAGAGGTAATATTGAAAGTTCTTAAGGTTCATACTTCCGAATTATTAGTAACGTGGCTAACAATAAATACAACCATGCCTGAAAGCTATGCAGGATTTATCTAACCGAGTATCAGTTCCTTAAAACTCTATGCAACAGCAGTATTGTGTTGTTGATGCTCTTGATACCATTCAGCCGGCCACCAATCCGGTCTAATGGCTTCAACCGTCACACCCTCGAGACCTTGAATGGCCAAACTTCGTGATCCTCTGAACGCTTCCTCCAAGCGCAAGAGACCGAGTCCACGGCACCCGACCGCAGCAATCACGTTACCTACTTTCTTGCTGGATGCGGAGTTGATTACTTCCGATCCAGTTGATACATTCTGCTCTACATCTGAAAGATAATCAAGGAGTTGCTTACTTAACAAGGTTGTGAAATTGAGATTCAAGCTAGAAAAAGCTCGAAACAGTTCGTGAAAGATCGGTTACCTTCCCCTCTGTCATTTAGAAACCTCAAAGGAACTACACGTTTTCGGATAACTCCACGGTGGTGTGTACGAGCTACAAGCTCTTGCCCGACATAGCACCCTTTGTCAAAACTTATTGCATTTAGACCCACCAGGTTGTATTCAAGGGGGATCGCCTCACCTTTACAAGGATTAAAGAAGATCCAAACCAAAAGAGCATAAGAATTCGAGATTCACAAGCCACTCGTCACAACTTAGCAGCAGGAAACAAATCAAACCACAGACCAAAACAGAAAGAACCCATCAAATACAATGAACAAGAGAACGGTGTATCGTATATTCTATCGACTAGCAGAGTAACACCAGAAAGAGCTCGGTTTATAAATTGCAAGATACAGAGTTCTAGAGCATTGGAATGACTCGTTGGCCACCAGTATTAAGAAATCGAAATGAACCTTTTTGAATCTCAGTTGAACCTTCTGCAACGCCCTTCTCTAGTCTCCACATTACATAATTATCTTCATCGGTTTCTTTATCCGCCTCAACAAGAGGAGCTTTAACAAATACAACCAGAAGAACACTATCAGAAGATTCTTAGCAAGAAACCATACATGATGAATGAATAATCCACTCAAACTTCATGGTACTAAAAACTCATAAGACCCTTCAGAGCATGAGAGAAACATACGTGTCCCGTTCGATGGAAAAACGCCTCTGAAACCAAGGCAGTCCAACCTTGGATCTTGAAACCATTGCCAGCCAATGTCTTCCCCACGCGAAGCCGACATTGCTGTAGGATCAACACTAGCACCCCAACCAACACTGGCAGCGTCTGGTTCCTCTGCAGAGGAAGCTTTTCTAGAGAGCTTTTTACCAAAGCGTTGCCAGCAAGAAAACTCCTCTGCCACATTCTCAATATCAACCTTTGACCTTAAACGGTATCTGTAGAACAGTAACGGAAGGAGGTTTATAGGACGACGATTAGTCGTTACAATATAGGTTTAAATCCTATTAAACTTTCTTGCTTGTTCATATCTTGTTTTGGTCCTAAATTTCAATGCCTAAGCTTCAGTCAAGCTTTCATTGTCATTTTCCAAGAACCTACATCTATTTGAAAACATGATATCCAGTCTACCCTGATGAACATGATTTGAATACTCAAACAAGCCAAACTTGGGTCTAGTAGAATCCCAGTGTATCCAGCTACAAGTTCAACTTAAATGATATCTATCATGATGGGTACTGATCATTGCATAAGAAATTTGTATGTAAACATGATCAAACTCAAGGAGGACCAGAAACTTAGCAATTCAATCACAGCTCTGCATTTCTAAAAGGGTATCATTCAATTAATCCCAACACAATCAAAATTGCATCACTGACACCAAAAAGGAGCAAACAAACCAACAATTTGAACCAAAACAAAGAACAGTTTAAGCAAAGGAACTAACAAAGAGCTCACTTCTTCAGCGTCACCAAAAGCTCATCCAACACAGAAGAATCCACATCAGCCATCAACTCCACCGACTCATCCGAAGCCGGACCAGGCCCAGAGCCAGTCCGATCAAGCTTCTCTTCAGACCTAGGCGGCCTGTACAAAAACAAATCATACAAAAACCTCCCCTGCGGCGTCAACATCGCCGCATACATAGGCGTAACCGACACCGGCGCCAAATTGGGGGTGGGCAACGACGACGTTTTCTCACCCGGAGGTTCCCCAAACCGCCGCACATCATTAGTCAATAGGCCGTGAAGGAATTTGACGGTGTCGGGACCCCGAAACCGAATGACAGAGCGAGACTTCAAATGGGCAGCCATAGACCCAGCGGCGTGGCTGAAATGGGATCGGGTGTCCGATGAGCAAAACCCCCGGCGGATTGGGAATCCATTGGCGAGTAATTTGCAGAACTTGAAAATGGGTAATGAACGGTGCATTTTGTGGGGTTATTGAGCAAATTGTGAGGGCTTAAATCAGAGGAACATAGGAACTGTGGGGGATCGAAGTGGAAGACGTGACGCGTGTTAGAGAAGAGGTATGAACTTGCCGGCACGTATCTCCAAACTGCATCACTACGGATAGATCTGAGCTTGTGTTCGGCGTGTGTTTGATGAAAGTCTTCAGTGAAGCAATGTTTCAGATTTTATTTCAAAGGGTTAAAAAATAATGTCTCAAAATCAAATAAATAACTCTATTTCATATTACTTACAAATGCTATTATAAATAAATACTATTTTTTAAATATTAAAAATATTATGGGAATAACTGTATTTGACACGGTGGAATAATATTATTGTAACTTTATCTAAATAAATAATATTTTTTAAATATCGAAAATATTATAAAATAACTGAATTTGATAGTGTATAGTAGTATTATAAATAAATAATATTTTTATTTAATTCTTAATTCTAACCATTTTATTATATTAGCTAACATTACATCACTATTGTTATTAGTTTGTTTATTTCATTAAGTTAAATTATTAAAATAATTTTAATTGAGTTTATAATAAATAATGTACCTTAAATTTTAGATACATTAGTAACTATTCTCAAATAAATGGGTTTTAATAAAATTATACAAATATTTATATTTAAATATAAATAGTTAATTATGCGTATTATTTTTCAAAAATAAAATATTATGTGGAGTAATATGATGATATAATAAAAGTAACAAATTGTAAAATAGTTCTTTTTTCTTATGAACATTGTGAAATTTAATCCATTTTTCATTTTCACAACATTAAATTCTATATTATTTAACCAATTTTTATTTTTATAAAAAAATTAATTGACAAATGTATTAATAATTGATAATAATCATTAAAATTTAAATAAAACAGAAAATCAAAAGAGATCGTTCATCCGCTCCAAGACATTAATACGATCATAGCTTTATTCATTTGTTAGAGCACCTAAATTTAATACACAGTGAAAAAAGCACATCTAATTGGTTCAAAGAAAGTTGAACCACAATCGTCAAGTTCACTCGACCTCGACCTTGATATCGATATGTATAAGTAGAGACCTATTCTCCTTGCTATAGTATCTGAAGATCACGGAAAAACAACAATTGGCTTATAAAGACAGGACTCAAATCTAAATAAATGAAATCAAGACACATTCTTTTCGGGTAGATATATCAACGTTTTGTATTGAAAAACAAACAAAAAAAGATATATCAATATTCTACGTATTCTAGTTTTAGGGCCTTGTATTTGAACTTAACCTATGATTTTTCTTTGGGGAATGTATAACCAACTTTATTGCAATCTTGTGATAATGATAAAACCTATGCTTCCTCTGAAACTTTAAAATTCAAAGCTCTTCCTCTCAAATTTTTTTTATGTCCACGGTAAGATCCCACATCGATTGAAGAGAGGAACAAGTGCCAGCAAAGATGCTAGGCCCCAAAAGGGGTGGATTGTGAGATCCCACATCGATTAGAGAGGAGAACGAAGCACCCTTATATAAGAATGTGGAAAGCCTAAAGAGAACAATATCTATTAGCAGTGGGCTTAGGCTCTTACATCCACTTCCCATTCCCATTTCCATTTCCTTTAGGTTACTGAGATGCAAGGCTTAGGAAAAGAAACACATAGAATCCTTCCCAAGCCACTAAACTCTTCCAAAATTAGATAATCAAACCATCTCCAACAGATGAGGCAAAGCCATCTTGATTAAAGTTCCTTTATGTAGCAACAAAAAGAAGAAGAAAAAAAATCAAGGGCTCAGATACAACCAGCTGACTACACTATACTTCCTGGTAAAATTACTTATTTTTCATATCGAGGTTTTTGAAAATGAACCAACTTGCATGTTCATGACATCAACAAAGCTAATAAAAACAAGCTATAGCTGAATTGATATTAGTTTAACATACATTGATGAAACGAGACACTGTGAGTCGATGTTCTCGCATCTACAGAGGGGAAGTTCCACAAATCTAATATAAGCTGGTGTTTCAAATATATCATGCACCAAAATCAAATAAAAAGATAAGTTATCTTATACCTATTTCTAGCAAATTTCCAGAAATCACCTGTGATAGGAAGCAAATCTCCCAGTCCTAGTACTCTCCTCTGCTTCTAACAGGTTTTTCTTTGTATGGTTTCTTTTTGAAAATCTTGAATTATTTTCCTGAATTAAAATAGCAAGCTGTGAAGTCAATCAAAAAAACAAAATGGGAAAGTTACTAACTTTCGTGAGGAAATGTCGGTTAAGTACGAAGTCGTAATGTTGATGAACATTACAGTAGCAATGTGGTTAATCCCAACTGCCTCGACTCCTTCGAAACGCCTTCTTGTCAGAAAGGACCTTCTTGCTTTTAAGGCGTTTCTGTTCTCCAATGGCAGCCCTTAACAAATACAAAAAGTAATACCTCACAATTAAATACGTCATGGGAGATACATAAACATTTTGAAATCAAGTGGCCAAGGAAGTTGAAGAACTCACATCTTAGCAATTTTCTTCTTTTGTTCTTCTGAGGGAGGTGGCGGGACATAAGAAGCAGCATCAATTATTGCCTGATTTTCATATAGAAACAACCCCATTATTGGAAATTAAAATTCAGTTAAGAAACTAAGGCAGAATGCAGAATCTACCTTCCAAGAAATGGCCATAGACTATTTAACTTTCCATATATTCGCTATTAAATAGACAAGAAGAGAAGGATCCTATGGGAAGGCAAAAGTACCTGAAGTTTCTCCAAGGCATCTTCAATGTTCCCCCTGAAGAAATGAAGAGAAGAAAAGTTAACAAATCTTTTTGGTAGAACAAACATGAGAAGAAATAAGGAAGATGAAGAGGACAGAAGTTTACTTCTGCGTTCTAGTTTTAGTGGATGAAATTACAAGCTCCCCATCCTTGTTGATCCGATTTTTCTCCTGTTCAGCGAAGCAATATTCATGTCGAGAAAGAGACAGAAAGAGACGAGTAATATCGTGACAAAAGATTAATTAACACTTGAACCACTTCCAAGTACCAGGATCATACTGTATTGATTCAGATTTTTTTCTCTCTCTAAAAAACAAAACCGTATTAATTGTATTAAAATGAGTTAAATAACTACATTTTACAAGTACTTTCCAGTCCCTAAATTTCAAAATCTAACAATTTAAATGGTTTGGGGGGGGGGGGGGGGGGGGGGGGGGGGGGGGGGGGGGGGGGGGGGGGGGGGGGGGGGGGGGGGGGGGGGGGGGGGGGGGGGGGGGGGGGGGGGGGGTGTAGAACTGTTAGGAGACAGAAATAACAGAAGACTGACGACAGAAACCATACAAATCTCAATGTTGTGCGGATTTGAAAGACAGAAAGGAAATTTTCTAAAACTTGCCACTTTAATTCGAGGGAAGGAGAGGAAAGATATGTAATAGAAAATTAAGTAACAAACCGTTTGCATAATCTTTTCCCTGATTCTCTCGCTTAGCCAATATGCATCTTTAACATTGAAGCGCATGTCAACCTTCGTGTTCACTGCACTATCATTTACAGAAATGATACCTCATAAAGAAAAAAGAAACTCTAAAGTAGAAACAAAACCAATCAGAGCCAAGAAAATAACTGACCTTTATTGACATTCTGACCTCCAGGGCCACCACTTCTTGCAAAATTCACAGTGACGTGATCTGAGGGACAGGAAAAGAATAGCAATTGCTGATTAGAGAACCTTTTTCCATTAAGGGTAGGAAACTACAAAAAATTTGAATATCCTTTCCCTTTTTAGGATATATTAGCCAAAGAATTGTGGTGTTCTATCAACAAAATTCTCCTAGCATCTCCATTGTGGTCAAGACTGATTGAGAAATTAAATCTATAAAGAATTGGAGAAGAAATAAATGATTTGAACACCTGACTGGCGTTTTGCTGCAATGGAAGGAAAATGACTTGGGTTTTTATGAGGAGAGAACTTTTAGTGAAGCACTACAAGAAAAAGAATTTTCATTTTAGGTAGTTCATAACAAAGTACGGGAAGGAGAGGTTGAACTTTTTTGAAGTCAAGAATCCAGTAAAATAAGTCGCTGAAGCGAAGGGGAGGTGGTGTGACCAATAACATAATTTTTGTTTTCCCACAAAATGAAGCTAAAGTCTCCTCATCTGTGTAGCCTTGAGATATGCTACTCAATCTGCTAATTCAGATTTCCGATGTTCCATTGCTTCAACATCCTTATCTCATATTACAAGTTTCAACTCATTGATCAAGTCCCCTTCTAAATTCTCCTCCCCCTGTATTGCCCCCTACGGGGACATAAAATTGCATCAAATCCACAATCTCTCCAATGATCGTGTGCACTCCCCTCTCCTATTTGGGTGCACGAATCCATTTATATTGTACAGCAACAGAATAGGAAAAAGAATATCTTGAACTCATCCAGCTCCGCAGCGGTCTATAATATTGGGCAGAAGGAACATACCAGGGTTTTCTATTTAATTTTCTAATCTTAGCCTCAAGTTTCTCTCTTTCACTATGATGATTGCCAAAAATGTCTTTCTGCTCTGACAAACCAACATTTGGCTCTTCACTTTTCACCCACAAATGCTAGTAACACAAATCTTTATCTCACTTTCTCAAATCATCCGGCTTCCTCTCTCTCAATTTCATTTTAATTACAATTTTCTCCAATTAGAAACTGATTGGCCGAAATTCTCCTGCCACTAATAGCTCCTTTTTCTTGTGAAGCATCTGTTTTTTTTGTATCTTTGCAATTCTGCGACAATTGAAGAGTAGTCATAACATTCCTTTCCATTATCAAAGGAGCCATAAAAGCATCTTCAATTTCCTTGAATGTCAATATAATTGTGATTAAAATAGCTCCTCGAAGGAGACAAACAAGTTGGGTTCTTCTTTTTTTATTGCATCCAAAGCACTTAGCTTTCCATGTAAAAATTCCAAAAGAAAAATCACACTCCAGTGTATTTTCCATCTCCACTCGAATGTAAAAAGGCTCTTACTAAGACTCTAGGACCTAGCATTTCACCCTCTATAGGTTTATACATGGATGCATCTAGAGAGAATTCCTTAGAAAGGGGAAGAAAAAGTTAAAAAGAAAAAAAAATCTCCTTGAAACTGCAAATTGATTGATGAAAAACCAAACATACAAATTGAAAACCAGAGGAATGAAATGAAAATTTTCTCTGAGCTCACAACAGAACAGACAACACCTTTTTTCTTTGGTAACCACTCTGTTGTTTCTCTCAATGGAAAATGCACTAAAGGAAGTTCAGAGGGAATCTATTCAATAACCTGGCATACTCCATATCATTCAGCCTGAAATAATCAATCAAGAGTTTAAGAGAGATGAGACGTTCTTCAAGCTCCTTTTCATTAAGGTTTCTCTTAATCCCAAATTCCAACAAGCATTAGCATTATCCAAACCATCTTTAATAGTTGAAATCGAGTACAGCCCTGTAATAACTTCATGTAAACACCATGTTTCCTTGTTACAGTGTTAGTTCTCCCATGTGCAAGTGCAACAAGCCTAGCTATAAACCAATGTTTCTAAAGCACGCAGCATATTGAAGTGCAAGGCTTCGGCCCAGGATCAGAAGAAAAACAAGAAGGAAAGTGAGTGCATTTACGGGAATCAAAATCAGAAAGGAAAAGAACATTCGAGGGTTCAAGGCGATTACACAAGGGTTCAGTAAATTATTCTTAGAAGATATGTCACAAACTGAACAAAATCCGGAGTTTCAGTGATTCAACATCCATTGGACAAAAGACTCATCTTCTTCAAAGTAGCTACGAGCAGTTTCAACGGATGTGAGCTACCGTACACTCAGATAATTTAGGGCTAGAGAAAATAGACAAAAGTGAACCTATATCGACGAGTAGTCTCTCTGGCTTGAATTAGCAACCGTACACGTTGTTAGACAAACACGACTCTCCACAATGGTATGATATTGTCCACTTTGAGCATAAGCTCTCATGGCTTTGCTTTGGGCTTCCCCAAAAGGCTTCATTCCAATGGAGTTAGTATTCCTCATTTCATGATCATTCCCTAAATTAGCCGCGATGTGGGACTTTCATCATCCAACACCTCCCCTCGAACAAAGTGCGCCTCACTTTAATCGAGGCTCAACTCTCTTGGAGTCTTAGTCATTTTTTACTGCCTTCGAGGAGACTTGGCTCCTTTTTCTTTTGGAGTTCTTTGTTCGATATTTGAGGATTTACCAATCTATTGGCACGACTAAGTTTAGAGCATGACTCTGATACCGTGTTAGACGAACACGACTCTCCACAATAGTATGATATTGTCCACTTTGAGCATAAGCTCTCATGGCTTTGCTTTGGGCATCCCCAAAAGGCCTCATTCCAATGGAGTTAGTATTCCGCACTTCATGATCATTCTCTAAATTTGCCGCCATGATCATTCTCTAAATTTGCCACGATGTGGGACTTTCATCACATCTCAGGGGATTACACTACCACAACTACCAGTTGACTCAGTAAAGTAATAATCACTTTAAACAATAGATTATTGAGTGATTTTCGGGACATACCGAGAGTGATTTTAGGGGCGGGTTCGTCGTCAGCCGATAGAGCGCGCTCCTCCGCCTCTTGCAACAGCTGCTGAACCTGCGACAGGCGGGAAGATACCTTTCCTCCGGCACCGGACGACTCCGAAGCGGCACATATGACACGACCAAAACTGATCTCACGCAGCCTGAATCGCAAAGCGGCATTGGGATTGTTCAAAGTAGCAGGGAAGAGTGGGGGTACTGATAGAGTAAAATAGGGTTGCGAATGAAGGATTTCTCTGAGGATCATGTTTGTGGTGGTTCTAATGACCGCCATTCTTTCTCCAAGGTACCTTGAAAGCGAGTTAGCAGCGATGAGCTTCCTCTACAGCTTCTAATGGCTTTGAGCCTGGGAAGACGATGACCACTGGTGCTGACGGCGAACACAGCACTGGACAATGAATGGTTCTCCATTTTTTAGGCAAAAATGAAAAATATGGTTTTTTTTTTTTTTTTTTAATTCCGCAAAAAATATTTAACAAATTAAGATTTATTTGAAAACTACAGGGACTTTTGTGTAATTTAACCTTGATCTTACCCAAGCTACCGTTACTGAGTTTTGGGCTTCCATCTGATCCATTTAACAGCCTAGTTCGGCCCAAATAAACAAGCCCATTATTCTGATTTGATACGCCAACCATTCAATACCGACACGTGTCCACCATATCACATCTGGAACCATCGATTTCAAGGACGAACGTCGCTCTCTCGTTTTCTTCGGCCTTCAATTTCCCAGTCGGTGAATATCCGGGGTTCCCTCTCTCCCTTCGTGAATTTCTTACTCCCGGAAATTTCGTTGAGGCGATCGTGTTTGAAATTTTTTGTCTACCGGAGTAATTTTGTAGAACGCTTGCAAATTTCTACGTATCTTTTTCGCTGAAGGTACCGCTTCTCTCTTTAACAGGATCGGATCATCTAGGGTTTGACATGTTTGTAAAACTTGAATGCTGTTCATCTTGATGTCTACGGTTCTCTTTTGGCTTTGGTTTTTTTTGGAAGTATGAGGAGTTTTTCTGTATCGTTGTGTTAAGCGTTGTTGGTTGCTTTTGTTTATTATTATTTTTCTTTTGGTTTTTGATTCGGAATTTCAGTTTTTGTTATTGTGTCTGCTAGTCTGATTATATATAGTGGAAATGGTGGATTTTATGTTTCTTTTTATTTTTATTTTTTTTGTTTATAACAATATTTTTGTGTTTTTTTTAATTTGATTATGGATTTTGTTGCATCATTATCAATTATGTTCGATTTAGGAGAATCCTGGAGGAATTTTCCTTGTCGTTGAGTTACTTGATTATTTAGTTTGAGCTTTGCCTTTATATCAAGCCGATCATGCTGAGTCTTTCTTCGTTGGCTTGGTTAACTTTTTGTTTATCGTCTCTTGTTTTTCTTCCAGGGTCCTTTTGTGAACTGTAACGATGCATAGAAAGAGCAGAGGGGGCAGGGACGAATTTTTTGATTTTGGTGACCCCTTTGCTGGGTTTGGAGGCTTTCCGGGTCAAAGAAGCTTAATTTCTGGTTTCTTTGGTGGACGGGATCCATTTGATGATCCTTTCTTCAGAAGTCCATTTGGAAGCATGTTTGATTCGAGCTTCCCTGGTGGTCCTCGAATGCCTTTTGCAAGCATGCGTCCATCTGGATTCCTTGATCATCAGGCTCCCGAGCCTAAAAGGCCGAGAGGCCCGATTATTGAGGAAATAAATTCAGATGATGAAAAAGAAGCAGGAAACGAGAGTAAAAATCCAAAGAATTCATCCAAGGAGCCTCTTGTTGAAGACCCTGATGATGAAGGTGAGTGTGAGACTTGTCTGGATTGTTGTGTTTGTCATTCTTTTGCTTGCTTTTATGCATTTCAGTTGTAATCTGTAATGCCGAACTATTTCCTTGTTGTTAAAGAGAATGGGAAAAGACAGTTGCAGCGCATAGATCATCACAGTGGATCAAATCACAGACATATCCGACCTCAAACTAATAGCTTCACATTTCAGAGCTCCTCTGTAACTTATGGAAGCTCGAATGGAACATATTATACTTCATCAAGAACAAGAAGGGCAGGAAGTGATGGTGTAAGTGAAACTTAAAGGCCAGTAAGGAGTTGATTCATCTAGGAAGATTTCTTTCTTCATTTGTCTATTTCTTTTTGTAAATAGGTGGTTTTTGAAGAAAGCAAGGAAGCTGATACGGCAAGCAGACAGGCAACCCATAAAGTTTCAAGAGGACTCCATAATAAGGTATCAACAAAGAAAAGATTTGACCCCTTGAGATTAATGTCCTCCCATTTGTATCCGTTAATTATTTGTTTGATACAACTTGTGATGTGTTTCTTTTAGGGTCATTCAGTTACAAGGAAACTGAATCCTGATGGTAAGGTGGATACCATGCAAACTTTGCATAATCTTAATGGAGGTATGTAACTATTCATGCCCAATTGTTTTTGTGTTTGTGTAAACTGGATGCTTACGATGTCTGGCGTTATGTTGTAAATCTTCAGATGAGCTAGACAGTTTTGAAAATGCTTGGGCAAGGAATGCAGGAAGTTTGCCTGGGTGGCCTGGGAGTACAAGCGGCTTTGATAGTATTGGTATTTTCTAATACAACTTCGATCAAGTTTTTCTTAATCTGATCCTTTTGTCTGCCTCCTTACCGTTACTTTTATTTCGTAGAACTTCAGTACTTAGGCTCATGATGCTGATGTTTTATACAATGATAGGACTTGAAGGTTCAAATGACCAAATACCCTTATAATACTTGGTGGATGGGTTTAAGCAAATTACCCAAATGGGAGACAGGAGAATATAATCTAATTATCTCGTTAATGAATGAAAAAATATACAGGAATGGTAGTTACGGGAACTGTGTGCCCACCAAACATTGGATGAGATCAGAAATGGGGGAGTTCTTTTTCTTTTTTTTTTTTATTTTTTTTATTTTTTATGTTTTCCATACACCGTTTCCCGTCCTCGAACGTATTTGTTTGGTCTGACTAAAATCTTTCATAATTCTATTGGTTTTAAGTTGCACAGGAACATTTGTCTGACCATTTGCCTCTTGTAACTTATATATGTTTAGGAGAGTAAGTGAAAATATAAGAACAGAAGCCTCCTCCCTAGTGGCTTTTAGTAACCAGAAGTGTAAACAGTTTAAGGAAACTAGTCTGCAAAACTATCACTATGGAACCAAGTAGCTGCTATAATTTTATGATGGGTGCTAGCAAGTGTATATGATGCTAATTTCATTCCACCCCATGGACAGCTGGTGGCATTTGCCAAAACGGTCAAACAAGCAGAGGTGGGTTGGCACTTCCCTCCACTCAGCATCATCCTCAAGCGACTGGAAGGACAGCCGTGGAAGGCTGGAGTAACCCGGGTTCCTCACGCGCACAGCAAGTGAACAGGAGTAGGAAAGATGCAAGGTACAGGAGTGCCTAAACTTACAAAATTATAGACTGGATTCAGATTGATCTCGTGCCTCTTTTGCGAATCCATTCTTCCATTTCAGATGGATGCCCTTATCTGTGTGTCGTTCATAATTACTTACATACCCCTTGCATATACTGTGGAACGATATAGTTGCTGTTGACAAGTATTTCATCTTATCTTTTTTCATGACCAGCAGTTCTGATGTTATTTGATGAATCTGAGAGTGGTTTTATTAGGAAAAAATGCCAATTTTAGAAATTGAATCAAGATACTGACTATATTGAGGGCCGTTGCCGTTGCTATTGCTGTTGCCATTGTTCTTTTTGGCTTTGTTTAAACTTGTCGTGTAAGAAATGATGAAGTATGTATGTAGGTATCCAAGAACTGGGAGTTGAGAGAGGAAGGGAAAATTGAAAAAAAAAACTTCTTAAATCGATCAAAACTGCTAGGAGAACTGGTTATATATGCAGCATGAGTGTTTTGGATTATGATTTGAATTTATGAGTATTCATGATCTTTAGGGTTATCTTTGAATTCAAAATTTTCAGATGTGTATCTTTTCAATTATTAAATAAAAGTTTTTATTTCGCTAATTCAAAATTGAATTTGATTGAACCAATTGTTTTGTTTTTTAAGTAGTGTTAGTTTTTAGAAGATTACAAATATGAACTTTGAGACTATATAAAGTTGCGGTTAATGATTTTCATTTTGAGGATATATATTTAAGGCTATATAAATGGTTGGATGTTTAATGATGATTTTCATTAAAGTTAATGGTTTTTCATATTGAGGCTATATAAAGTCGTAGAAGGTTAATGTTTTCATTTTAAAGCTATATAAAATTATGTATGTTATCTTTGCAAGGGAGATTTGAACAGAGACCTGAAATATGCAAGTAACAAAAGCATTTATGTTTTCATTTAGCTAATGACTATGTTTCTTTGCAATTCCATAGTTTAGATTGTATGTTTACCATCATTCAAGTTTGATATGGAACCTTGTTTGTGGTGTAATTCGAATCTCAAACAAGTGTTATTAACCGTTGATATTTGATCAACAAGATAATTCAAATCTTAATTTCATATCAATCTTGGTGGTAGAGTAATTAAAATCTCAAACAAAGTGTTCTTACCTGTTGATATGACAATTCAAATCTTAATTTCCCTTGGAATGATTTCTTATCATTAAGGCTAACTGTTCTTACTTTTCTTTTAGCCGAGGGCCAGTTTAGGGTGCATGTTTAGAATCATTGAAGCTTAAAATAATCGATCGTGCTTATAGAGTAATTCAAATCTTAAACAAGTGTTTTTGCCTTGTCATAGAATACTCGATTAACAAAAAAAATCTAAATCTCACTTCTCTTGTAGTGATTTCTTATCAATTACCATATTGATCGATTGAGTTCGAGTAAATGAAATGAGTCGGATTTGTAATAAATCGAGGGTGGAATGTAGTGGAAAATGGGTGGATTTGAAAGGGAAATAAAGAGAGGGAAAGCGAAGGAAAATGGTGAAGAAGAATAGAGACATAAGTACACGTGAATGTGTAATAAATTAAGAGAGACAAATATTAGATGGCATAGGTCAGCGGTAATACCACACCATAGCCTTAGCCCTTTCCATTTTGAAGGCCACAACATGCCCTCCCCTCCTTCACCTTCCCCATTGCCTCCATTTATTATCCTCACATGCCTCTCCCGATTCCCCGTTTTCTCGTTTGGCTACATTTTTTAGGGACAAGACGACGATATTGACTCTTCATTCCCTCCAATACGTCCACGTTTTCTTGTTTGGTTAAAATTTTTAGGGTCGAGATGACGATATTCATTAGGGTACCTGACTTTCTACTAATCAAAGCCTAACCGTATGATTAGTTCTATTATGACTTGAAATTATAATTAGATGTACTTGTTATAGTCATTGATTCCTATTTAAATTATCGAGTACGATTGTTTTATCGATTACGATTGTTCTTCTCACCCAACTTTGGTCATTTTTCTTTTCGTTTCATTTAATATAATAACGCACGTTGAAGTTCATAAGTGGAAAAAATTCGATACCCATTAATTAACCTATTCAAGTTTAAAACTTTTGTTTCTCTCAAGAAGGGTGTCGAGGAGACAAGTCTCATCTCATCATTCTCTCTATTCGTCTCTCTAGAAGTGTGTAGATTTTTAAATGGGACATTCATTAAGAACAATGGAAGGATGTCTCCTAACCTCTCTCCCCGAACCTTCAACGATGATTGAGACTTTTTTTCGAGAGAGAGACTATTAAAAAGTGTCTGAAAAACGTAGAAACCAGTGATTCTATATTAAAAATCGTAAGAATTATTAGTGGCATACGAATTTTTGAACTTAAAATGAAAAATTATTAAGAGACGAACGACGAACAGGTTTAACATTTTTGAGCGCTCGAACGAGAGAAATAAATAGAGTTGGTGAGTGGCTATCAAAGACTTAAAAGGCATTTATGAAAGTCTTCCGCTCTCTCACTCCATTTGGCTCCTTTTGCATCTCATTTTCCCATTCAATTTTTGTCCTATGCAACTAAAATTCAGTCAAAGTAAGCATATTTTCACCCGTTTTCCCGTAAAGAGTATGTTCGGAGTTAATTTTGACGTTTCAAGTCAACACTTAAACGTTTAAGTTCGTATCAAATCTTTACGTTTACGAGTTATTTTAAAAATTCTAAACAAAACTTTCAACCAAACGACCCTAATAAATTTATGAATTTTGTATTTATACTATATCTAATAAATTATGGATCTATTCGACAAAAAATCAAAATATTGGTATTGGATTTATCAATCGATTCATAACCTTTCAAAGACAACCGATATCTATTCGGACTCCCTTTATTTGTAGGAGTACATCTTGAATCTGTCGATTATGTTATGGACGAAGTCCTACTCATTGGGACCTGGTTGAATTGGGAGAAGCCGTAGGTATTATTGCGGGTCAATCTATTGGAGAACCGGGTACTCAACCAGCTAACATTAAGAACTTTTCATACAGGCGGAGTATTCATAGGGGGGACTGCAGAACATATACGAGCTCCTTCTAATCAAATTCAATGAGGATTTGGTTCATCCCACACATACACGTCATGGGCATCCTACGTTTTTATGTTATATAGACTTGTATTTAGCTATTGAGAGTGGGGATATTATACATAACGTCACCATTCCACCCAAAAGTTTACTTTTAACGATCAATATGTAGAATCAAAACCAACGATGGCTAAACGATCTTTTATTAATTTATCTTAATAATATTAAAAATTCATGTTATTTTGAGGAATTAATAAGACTAAAAGGACAAAGAGAAAAAACCAAAAAAAGCACACAGAAAGAGATAAAAAGAAGTAAACCATAAAGTAAAGAGAGTATCTAAAAAACAATTTTTTTTTTTTTTTTTTTTTTTTTTTTTTTTTTTTTTTTTTTTTTTTTTTTTTTTTTTTTTTTTTTTTTATAGAAATTTGTGAAATAACGAACATAAATAATAAGAGATAAAGATAATTTATAATTTATAATTTATAACTCGTTATTCCGACCTATTTAATATTTCACTTTAAACCGATAAAATCACTAAACTTTACATCCTTGATAGAGTATACCCGAGTTGAGTTAGGTTGAGTTGGAAAAACTTTTTATATTAACCCAAAATTTTGGATGGGTCGAGTTAGTAACTGAACAATCGAGTAGAGTTCATAACTCAACCTTACAACCTATGACTCGGTTTTAGTTGGATTGTCGGAGTTTTTTTTATTATTTTAAAAAAGATCGTACTTATATATGGTTATAAATAACTAAAATCTCATAAATCTTGAATATCAAACGTTCACGAGTCACCTCATATCTCGAACTTTATTTACAAAATATCGAATATTTTTTATTTTCACAGTTTCAACCGTTGGATTGGGTTGGTCAAAGTTGACTCAAAACCAAAAGAAAATTATTATATTTCTAAAAAATAAATGTAAGAAAAAGACAAACAAACTCAAACACTTTCTTCAGAGTTCATAGATATAAATATAACTACAAAGCTCAGAAAAAAGGGAAAACCCAAATTAATTTATTAAAAAAAAATGAAAAATATCACTCCTTCTTCTTCTCCGTCTCCGCCTCTCCACCATTACCAATCTTCTCCGTTCTTCTCTGTAAATCTCTTTCTCAATTCATTTCATAATCTGTTTGAATCGTTGAAAACGTGAAATCCAATTGAGTAATAATCTCTGTGATTGTTGTTTCTTTCTTTGTTTTACAGATCGTTCCAAACAGTGAGAGAACAGAGGAGGAAGATGAGTTCAACAGAGCAACCCCAAGTAGTTGTACGGATGACGGAGCAAAGCACCACCCGACGCCGCTCCACCTACATTCTCACGGCGGAGATGAGATTCTTCCCAAACGCTCCACCAAGAAACGCCTGGAGCCAGTGGCTTCCGTCGGCGACGGTGGATCGGTGTCCTGCAGCAAGTGCAGGCCACATGCTCGAGAAAAGTTCTCTGTGGTTCCGGTGGATTACAATGGCGTCGCCAAGCAGTTTTTCTCAATGGCGAGTCCTAATGGAATATTGAAATCCATTGTGTCGTCGTTCACAGGAAAAAGCCCTAAATCGATGAAGGAAGGAGCGGATTGGGCGGTGAGAGAAGAGCACTGGAAAATCGCTTTCGGCGAAGTTTCGCATAAACTGATTGAAGCGACGAGGAAAAGAGATGAAGCGATTCTTGAAGCTTCGAGGCTGAAATATTCCATGGCGGAATTGGAGAAGAAACTCAATAAACTCGAAATCTATTGCCATAGTTTGAAGTCCGAGCTCTATAAATGCGTTTCAAATCCGCGAAACCCTAACCTAGAAGTTCCAACGAACAGCGATTCGATTTCAGACAAAATAATCGAGAATTTCTTATCATCCGTTTCCGAATCTCGATCGTCCATGAGGCAGTTAAGCCGATCACTAGCGATGCAACTCCATCACATCGGAGACAAAATCTACGAGAGGATTCAATTCCTCCTCCGATCTCACGATATCAAAATATCTCTCTCGAAAAACAGTAAAACCTCACTAATCTTCCATCTCGAAGCGATTCTAAACAGAGCATTCTTCGAGGATTTCGAATCGATAGGGTTTCAGAAGAACTCACCGAATCAGATCCTGAATCCCTCGGATCGGACGGAATCGAACATCGCGTCGTTCAATCGCCTCCACCGGCTGAGTTGGGAGGAAGTTTTAGGCAAAGGAACGAGGCATTTCAGCGAGGATTTCAGCAGATTCTGCGACCGGAAGATGAGCGACATTATTGCGATGCTTGAGTGGAACAGAGCATGGCCGGAGCCGCTACTGCAGGCGTTCTTCATGGCAGCGAAGAGCGTTTGGCTTGTTCATCTTCTCGCCACAGCCGTTCACCCGAGCTTGCCGATATTCAGAGTGGATTCGGGCGTGAGATTCGACGGCGTTTACATGGAAGACATTGCAGGTGACAAAGCCAGAGAACTGGCTCCGGCGACGGTGAGAATAATGGTGGCGCCGGGATTTTATGCGTTTGATGGGTTGATCAAGTGTAAGGTTACGTGTAGGTACCACACTAATCTTAATAATTAATCTTCAAAATGAAATTATTTCTTTCTATTTTCATTTTCTTTTTGGATTTCAATTTTGTGTCTATAATTAAAAAATTAAAAAAAAAATCATCCATTTAAACTTCTAATTTTTGTTAAAAGGTTTAAAAAATTCTTAATTAGTTTCTATTATTGTTTTGTTCAACGTGACTCAAGATCTAACCAATCTATAATACTCCATTTTTTTTATTATAAAAATTAAAAATATTTAATATTTGTAATAATATTAATGATGTACGTAAAAAAACTGCTTATTGTCCGTATTATTTTCAAACAATATTTTAAATTGTGTTACTAATTGGCCATATTATCTCCAAACAATTTAATATTATTTTAGAGAATTCACCCGAATTGTGTTACTAAAGAATAAATGTATTTTTTTTATATAAAAAAAATTAATGTGTTTTTTTTAGTCCAAGATATTAATGAAACTTTTGTAATTTAATTTATTTTGAATTTTTTTTAATTTGAAGGGTATTTTTGAAACAAATATCAACCATTTCTATCCAAAATTAACAGTATTTTTTTTATTTTTTTTAAAGTTTAAGTATTTTAATTCAAAGATATTTTATTAATTTAGAATATATTTTATTCCAAGTCATAAAAAAAATAAAAAAAATAATTAATTATTAATAATTTATTTTTATTAAGAAAAAAAAGAGAAAAATCCTATTAAATTCTTAAACTTTGAAATTATTTTGATGTCTCCTCAAAAATAAATTAAACATACTTCTTTTTTACTAAATAAAATGATGAGTTATCCATATCGATTTGAACCTTTCTCGTTAATTTCAAGACTTTATCGATATTATTTAATTAATAAACCTTACTTTACACCCACATCAAAATCGAAAAAAAATAAAATTTTATAAGATATAGTATTAAAAAGAATTAATGTGTTAGAAAATGTGAATTAAAAATTGTCGCATGTGTTGGAAGGACTATATAATAAAGTGGTTTCCCTTTCATAATAAAGGATATTGCAAATTGCCCCATGTGAGTAACCCTATACACTTTGGAAAATGCTCCTCTCTTCTCACATACCTTTTCTATCTTTTAATTAATGGAAGTCTTTTTTATTTTTTTATTTATTAAATATTAGCATTTTTCGATCGAGGGAAAACCCGCTTTTATTTTTTATAATTATATCTTTTTTAATATTTATTAAATATTATACCCGCTGTGAAAATAAAAGTAGGTAAAGTTCTTTTAACCACATTTATATCTTTTTAAGTCTAATGCTGGTAGATATTGTCCATTTTAGTCTGACGTTTGGTTATAATATCATTTGTAACAGTGCAAATCCAACGCTAGCAAATATTGTCCGTTTTGGCTCGACATCTGCCTCTAATACCATTTATAACAGTCTAAGTCCAACACTAAGTATGACTATCAATTTTATGATTTCAAAATGCATCTACTAGAGAGAGGTTTACACGTAATTTATTTTAAAAATAAAGTGACTTTGTCATAGTTTAAATTTTTATACTCAAATTAAAATTGAAGAATTAATTAAAAATCAAATTTATATTTTGATTTCCATTAGTTTTAACATTTTTTTTAATTATAAAAAGTTTTAGATTCTGCGGTTAGAATAAGGATTTAGATTCTAAATTCAACACCTGATGGCTCTAACATTCTCTTATGACATGATCGTGTTTTAAGAATAAAGATTAACCTTACAAATGAATACAGGTTCTTTCTCAAAGGTTAAAACAACGTACTTAATTTTGAAGTTGAAAATGCGCGTTATTGGTATAGATAATAATTATTAATTATTTTAAACGTTTCTTAATCAATTATATTTTCATAATCACTCTCATTCAGACGTAGTCTTGATTACGTGAGAAAATTTTTGGAGATCTATATTTTTCGGTGCATATTCTAAATGTAGTGTTTACGAAGATTTTGAAGAATAAAAAATTATTTTATACCGTTTAGCTTGAAGTTTTTCAAAACAGAGATGGAATAAAAAACACATCTTTTATGAATTTAAAGTTATCTTTTTACAAGTCAGATCCGACCTTTATTTTAGCCTTTTACAACCTTAAAGCTTACAAAACCATCCATTATTGTTCGACGAAAAAGATGGAGACACAAAAAAGAGAATGAAATTTACGATGCAAAAATATTTTTACTTTTTATCCTGGTCGATTTTAACATCTTCTCATTATGCTTCTCGTATGTGACATTTGAGTAAAGGAATGGTACGTGAATGAATCGAGACTACATCTAAATGAGAGCGATTTTGAGGATAAGATGAGTAAGAAAGACTTAAAAGAAATGAAAGTTACTATGCATACTAGTTAAGTGCACGCCAATAAATCCATGAGAGATTATTTGTAAAATAGCTCCATTGAGTCCCGTATCGCTTATAGAACAAATTCCTATAATTATGAAACCCATATGAGAGACAGAGGAATAAGCGATTCTTTTTTTTAAATTGCGTTGACCCGAAGATGTTGAAGCTGCATAGATTATTTGAATTATGCCTACTATGATCAACCAGGGTGAAAAAATAGAATGGACGTGGGGTAATAATTCCATATTGATCCGAACCAATCCATATGCTCCCTTTTTTAATAAGATTCCGGCTAGAAGCATACAAGTACTGTAATGTGCCTCTCCGTGGGTATCTGGTAACCATGTATGTAAGGGTATAATCGGTGATTTGACAGCAAAAACAATAAGAAATCCGATATATAATATTATTTTCAGTGCTATAGGATACGATTGATTAGCCGATGTTTCAAAATTTAAAGTTGGTTCATTAGAACCATATAAACCGATACCCAGAACTCCCATTAACAAAAAAATGGAACCTCCCGCAGTGTACAAAATAAACTTCTTTTCAGTGACTCAATCATAAGAACTCTATGATTAAACATATTTTGTTTGGAGCAATTCTATATTGGGTAATCTTTTCGAAATTTTCTTAAAATGCATGTGAATGAGGACAAAAAATAATGAATGGCTCGTGTTAGTTTGTAAGAATAGTTTGCATCTTTATAAAGTAAGAAGGAGCAAGTAATGTGAACGAGTGGAGAGGTGAACGAGTGCTCCGTTCTCGTCCTTGTCCTTGTCCCAACCTGTTTGATTTGAAATAAGATGTGGGGACGAAGACGTAAAAAGCTCCCCTATGTCTCGTGAAAATTTCTAAGTAGGAGTTTCATTGCTCGACTACGATATGACTTTTGTGCAATGTTTACAACTGAGACAAACGCAATTTCTCGAATTCTCTAAGAACCCTAAACCTATTCGATTAGAAAAAATAACACATATACATCAAGTTACGTTTTAATAGTAACATCCGTGTTCAAACAGAAAGAACGTATTATCGAGTAAACAGAATCGTATACCTAACGTTGTTCGTGATGAAAATAGTGGTTGGATGGATAGGTATTGGAAAGACCCCTCTTTTTAAAAATCATTGTCCAAATAGTCTCAATGTTCCACTAACAACCAACCATTTGAAGATGCCCTTTCTTTTTAGCCTTTTACAATCCATACATCTTTGTCAAACCACCCTCCCAACCATACAAATTTTTCCACAAATATTCATTATTTTATTATCTCAATACAAATTCGGGACCAACATCCTCGTTCGCACATCGCTCAATGTCTGACTCTGGTACTATTTGTAATCGTCAAAGTTCATTATTAACAGATATTGTCCGTTTTGACTCGTTACATATCGTCGCAACCTCACCATTTTAAAATGTGTTCGTTAGGAAGAGATTTTCACACCCTTATAAAGGGTGCTTCGTTCACTTCTCCAACCCATATAGAAAGTGTTTCGTTGTTAACAGATATTGTTCGTTTTGACCCGTTACATATCATCGTCAGTCTCACGATTTTAAAATGTGTCTGTTAGAAAGAGATTTACACATCTTTTTGAATTGGAACGATAATGATTAAATGTGTTTGAGCATAATGAACCCCAAAAGAAAAGAGAGGAAAATTTGAAAGCAAATCATTAACCCATTTACTAACTCACATGGATGCATAAGATTCAACCATATGATTATGTTTGCACACGAGCAAACCTATACACATGATTTACACTCGAACTATATATCTTAAAACATCTATCACGTATCTTTTAGGCTAATCAAATGTAACGTTCAAGAAATACTCGAGCAAACGTAGACACGTGGGTCTTGTGAAGGCTATGATATGAGTGTCACGACCAAAGTGAAAATGGTAAGAGGGTTTAGCCACTCGTTCGTTATTTTTAAGGGTATAAATTTAGGAGTGTTCAAAAAATCTGATCAACCTGGTTGAACTCGTACAGGTAGGGTTGGGTTGGATTATGAATTTATTTTGGTTGAATTTAGATAGATAAAAATTTTATAGATTGGGTTCGTTCTGGGTTTCCGTAAAGCTAGATTAGTTAAATCGAACCAACCCATATTTGTTATTAATTTTAAAATATATATTTCTATTATTATTTATTCTACAACAAACCTTACAAATAATTTTTAAATATTTTAAAGATAATTTTTCAAAATATATATATATATGAGCTAAAAGAAATTTAGAATAAATGACTCAAATAACCCGAACAATCAACTCAAAAAATTTATAGTTGGATTGAGTTTGAGTTGGGTTCATTATTTAATAACCGTTGTTTGCATTGGAAAAAAATTTATAACCCGAACAATTGGGTTGAGTCTAAAAATGTCTTAACTCAACCCAACACAACACCCGAACATCCCTACATAAATCTTTGTATCTATCTTGCTCGAGTGTTATCCATCTTCAAAAAAGCTAATTTTTTAAAAAGATTCATGATGCCGTGTTATATGTCAATTTGTCAATCGAATATGTAATATGATTTATAGGACGATCACTTGGTTCCCTACATTAGTATCTATGAATATCTACGACGATTTACTTGTCTGAATGACTATTGCTTAGCTAATTTTGTTTACAAAGAAAAAGAAATAAGCATATTCGCCAACCTATCTTTTATTTTTTGTATCATTCAAAACCAACATTCAATTAATGACATCG